AGGGAAAAATTGTTGATTCTCAGAAGAGAAAGATTTAAACTTACCTCTGTGAATTATTTTCAAGTTTTCTTTTAAGTGGTTTAGTGCTTTCACAGTCTAAAAGAAAAGAAGAAGGTTATGGACCAACTGCATAGTTGTGACAGACACTATTTGAATGCAATAGATTCTTCTTTTGATCTGTTTTTTTTCAATGAACGTTGCTTTAAAACAAAAACAAAAAATAACCCCAATTTTTATGTACACAGGGAAAGTGAAACAGAAGAGTAAAGTGTTATAATTTATCAGGACACAAGCCATTAACTATTGAAAAGATTAAACTATATTTATCTTAATAGCTAACTCATGGCCCAGCTTGGCCAGTGTTCAATTTATGTTGAAGATTATTAATGACCACATCATTCCACTGATCATTTCAGTGGAACTAATAGATGAGTAAGGGACTACAGAACACAAAAAAGATACAAGTCAGCAGAAGCCAATGGGAGTTTTGTCACTGATTTCATGGATGGAAAGACATCAACATAGAAAATTTTTAAATGACTGAAAATTAGTAATATTTTCTCACTTAGCTGTTTGCTGAATAGATTATCAAAATGATGTCCCCAAATTTGTATTAAAAATATGTTAACAGTATATAGCTGTTATACTGTTAAGCACTCAAAGGATGATGTGATCAATAAAGTACAACAGTTCTCTGAAGAATGATTCTTACAAATGGCCCTTTTTTTACTTGTCCAAACATTTGCCTCCCAAAGAGGAGAGAATTAAATCTCCAGACTCTAAGAACCAAAATATGCTTTAATGCATTTTACTCCCAATTAATCCTGCAGAGCCTGCACAGCGCAGAGCAGGCAAGATAGTGTCTCTTCCTTCTTGTGTGTCTTTAAAAATATTATTTTCCAAAATTTCCATCAGACTGATACATTTCTCTCTAAGCTATGGAGCTGCACAGCTGTTTGCTAGGTTAAAATCTGGCCTAAACAAATCTGATTTGTGCATAAAAAAAGGAAGAATCTAGTTTGATTCTCAAGTGAAAGCTCATTTATAGTGATAGTAGCCAGGGAAAAAAATATCCTGTGTGTTCTTGGTACGTTCACTTTAAGTACTTGACACCAATACATATACATTATTTTCTCTACTGTTCATGGGGACTTTACCACAGCAGTAGGGAAAAGGAAAAAAAATGACGATTATAAGATCAGGTAAATCAGCATGGGGTTTAGCCTCAGGCATAATGTCTGAGCTACTTCTAATCTATTTTTTAAATTGTTTACATGTCTGCATACTGATGAAGCCAAGGTAATGACCTGGTAAGCTATCTTTTCTCTAAGAGGTACACTTTTTAAAGCTTAATCAGAAGCCACTTACTAAGCAATTTCTTTTCAACTAGTATCACCTGATTCCTGAAGTGCAACTCCACTTCACATTCCATTCCTAACATAACTGAAAACTTGGGTAGCCTACATCATGAAACTTTCTTAATAGCCTCTGTTTTTAACCAAACTCAGTGTCCATGTTACTAGAGTTTACGGGTAATTTTGATGGCTAAGGTTTTTGAAAAATGTGTGCCTGAAGTTTTGATCCTAAGCCATATTTAGGCATCCAGATAAATGGCCTAATTTTCCAAAGTGTTGAGTACCTGAAGTGGAATTCTGTTATCCTTTGTGTACCTAAATGACAGTTTTCCAACCACAAAAATGGCACTTAGACACAGTTTACAGACATATATGCATATATAATTATATTGCCCATACTGGGTAGGCTATGGACTGGCTGGGCATCTATGCATCTATATAAGCAGGTACACAGGCATAAGTCCCAGAAAAAATGGTGGAAGATAATCACCACATATCCACATTTTAGCCCCAATAACTGAGTGGTTAAGGGACTTGCCTAGGACATGAAGTTCCCCCACACCCAGAAGGGACTTGAACCTACAACTCTCACTTCCCAGCACTATGCTCTGACCATCAAAGCAAAGGGCAGATATTAATGCTGTCCCAGGGTTGCCAAATGTCCTTAAAAACAGGCTAAAAACTCTTGTCCATATAGTCCATAAAAAATTCAGTCATCCATAAAAAAAAAAACTAACAAAGGAACTGGTAGCTTGGTTGAAGATCCCTCATCAGAAAGAAACTGGAGATCAGTTTGATGAACTGATAAGCCTGGTGTCTAAGCAGAAGCACAGTACCCTATAGGGAGCTCATGGGAGCCTGAATAGCCCCCTCCCACAGAGCAATCTGCTGCTGCATGTCAGACCATGGTTTCAAACCTGAAGCTTTGGCCTGACCAGTAGAGCTACTCATCTTGGTCTGCCATCCTACAGCTGGCCATCCAGGATAATCAAGGCTGTTCTGAGGCTTCCAGAAGAGTCTAACCCAGGGGTGGGCAAAAGGCGGCCCGTGGGTTGGATGCGGCCCGCCAGGCCATTCCATCCAGCTCATGGGACCCCTAAAAATTTTAGAAAATTAATATTTATTTGCCCCTGGCTGCCTGTCATGCAGCCCTCGAAGGCTTGCCAAAACTCAGTAAGCGGCCCTCCGCCCAAAATTGCCTGCCCCAGTCTAACCCTCTCACTAGCACCAGAATGGCTTGACAGGGTCAGCTAACCCTCTACTCCTCCATATAAACTCCAGACCCAGAACAGGAAGTGTCTGGGCAACAGGACTCAACTTGGTCCTCTGTTCTTTGCCCAATCTCCCATCTTTTCAATGTAGCTCGCTCTCTGACTGTACTTTCTGCCTGATCTCCTGGCTTCTTGATTTGGTCCGTAGCCAGGGTTCTGCTCACTTCTCGTGACCCTAGTTGGCACCTCAATCCCTGAGTGGCCCCAGACCTGGCAACCCACAACGTCCCTATCTATGCCTGTTTGTAACACTGCTCGCCTCACAGGTAGGCAGACAGTTGTGCTTCTTTGGGGGCTCGTGCTGGGATGGCGGGGTGGGGCTGGTGGTGATAAGGTTTAGGGTAGGCTAGAGGTAGCATGGAATTGGGTATGGTTGGAAGCATCAGGGTGTGGGGAGAGTAGAGGATCCCTGGGGTGAACGCAGCATGATATGAAATCACTGCTATTATCAAACAGTGTTTCTGACCCAAGATTTGTTTTTAACTGATAATCTGTAAACTTTTTACTGACAACCAAACTTTTTTACTATGGTTGATGGGTGATGTGGTAGATGATTGTCCAAGGCTGGCATAAGGGTTACATGTATATTAAGTAAAACATATGTCAACAAAAAATTTGACTGTCAGTAAAAAATAAAATGTCTTGAGCTAGCAACCCTGTACAGTCTCCTCTTTAGATTCTATTCTGATATTGAGATACTTTCGAGTTGAGCAGCAGGCTTCTGACCAAGTGACACTTGCTCTAGGTTGTTTGCTTCCTACTAGCCCTCTTCTGGCTGCCCCGGGAGCCAGTATTTAAAGGAAGCACTTTTGGGGCTAAAAAATGGAGGCACCTTTCTTCTGCTGCTTCTCCGTCCATGCCTCTAACCCTGTTCACTAGTCACGATTTTTTGTCCAGTTACAATTTTTTAAATTGCGCACAAACATGGGGTGTGTGTATGTGGCTGCACAGGCTACTAACATGCACAGTATACATATGGATGTTTATGTATCTACACTGCAGAGATAATAAAACAGCAAACTATGTATAAGTGCCAAAAAGGCCACTTAGGTGGCTGGAAAACTGTTATTTAGATCAGTGTTTTCCAACCTTTTCCAGCCCAAGGCACACTTACATTAATAAAAATTGTCTGCAGCACACCTGTTAAGGCATTCCCCATCCTCAAACCCATTGTAGCACATTGTAGCTCACTGCCACGGCAAAATTCCGTGGCACATCTGTTCATTTCTGATGACACACTTTTGTGCCATGGGACACTGGTTGGGAAACACTGTTTTAGATACCCAAAGTGTAATAGAATGGCCCCACAGAGGATCCCAATCATTTAAAATCTTAAACCATGTAGATACATGTCAAGAATTATTATTGGCACACATCAACGATTGAAAAGTGCAATATTAATGTTCTATTAGGATTATTTTAAATGTTGTTTCCAGGTTTGTTTGTTTTTTGTAAGAGAAAAGATGACAGAAAAGAAAATACTACAATATTAAATTATCCGGTCAGTGTCTGAAATCCTTTGCAGCTCACCTTATGGGGAAGTACTTCCCCATGAGCTTCAGGGCCCAGATGCTTTTATTTTATAACACAGTGAATGAAGCAAGTTTTGCATTTAATTAACAGACTTATGATTTTCCTAACTGTGCTGCTGACATAAGCACATATTTATGTGCAATAAAGCTAAAACACTAAAAACATATAAACTGTAATGCATATATTTCAAGTTCAGTTCTCTGGGACTTGTAACTTGGTCAAACCTACACCAATTTCGACCAGAATATTCAAAGACACAATCTTTCACAAGGGTTATTTCTCTGTCAAACTTCAGATTTCCATTTTCCTTCAGAGTTGCAAAATTTGTTTTAAGAAAATGTTTTCACTCTCCTGGAGGGTTGGAGTTCTTTTAGGAGAAGTAGGCATTGTTTTTAAGAAATTGCTTTTGGACAGAGACCAGATCTGAACAATTGCTGCTCCAAATGTGAAGTTTTGGAAAGATAACAATTATTTAGAACAAGGATTAACCAGTTCAAAATCCTTCACATCTCAGCTCTCCTATTACAAATGATGTTATAGACACAGCGGGTACATCTACATGAGTGCCTGACTGTGCAGTTGTTACTGTGCAGTCATTTAGCATTTGTTTTAGCAAGTACTAAAAGTCTTCACAGTAACTGCTGTTACTGCGCAGTCCCAGTGGTGCATGGGTCATTTGCAATCTTACTGCACAGTAGCAATGAGCTACTGTACAGCAATGAGCAATGAGCTACTGTACTTGTTGCTACTGTGCAGTAGTGTTGGCATCACGGTTTGTGACCACTGATGCTACGTTACTATAGCAATGGGCTATGTTGCAATAGTTCATCACTACAAAGACATATCATCTCCTGTAGATGCACCCAGTGAAAATGTGGCACTGTCCTACAGTGAGTTGGGGGAATGTATGTTTTATATTTGGTGAGAAAGCAGGTGCAGCCATCTAAGAGTTGGCATGGAGGGCTGGACAGCCTGTTTGTGTATGGCTTTTCTTATCAGTAAAGAAGGCTCTTGCAGAAGAGGGATTTCAATTCTTAGACCTTTGTTAAAACCAAAATAACTTGTTCTCCTTTCAGGCTGTCAAGGGTTTACCCTTGAGTGGGTGCATCTACACATGCCCCCCCATGGCACAGTTGTTACTGTGCTGTCATTTAGTACTTGCTTTAGGAAGTACTAAATGATGGCACAGTAACTGCGCCATCCTGCCAGCGCACGGTTATTTTTACCAGCTACATTGACATAGTGGAACACTATAGCAAGGTAGCTTGTCACTACAGCGAAGCTGTGTTGGCATCACAGTTTCTGCCTGCTGATGCTACATCACTGTAATGACGAGCTACATTGCCATAGTGCTTCACTACAGCAACATAGTGTCACGTGTAGACACACTCAGTTTGGAGGTAATTAAATGCATCTGAGAAACCCAATCTAAAACAAATGCAAACCACTAGCATGTCTTCCTTCCCAGTGAAGCACCAGGTTTTATAGACTATTACATGGTAACAAGAGAATGACAATAAGTTTTATATGCCCACCTTTCCCTTGCTGTACATAAACAGTTCTAGTTCAGTTTTCAAACTCAGTTTCCTAAGGCTTAACCCCTAACCCTGTGGTATACAAGAGAGGATGTTTTTCTGAACCCAGTTAATCACGTAAGTGTTCATTTACGTAACTCAAACATACCTATCTTTTGGAACTGACATTTAAGAATTGTCCGCTTAATTGCTGGAGGGGGAGAAAGATTTACTTAGAATGAGTAATTTATCTGAAACGTCAAAGGGTCCAGTGCTGACAGCCACAGAGGCAGCAGGTTACAGTTCATCTGCTTTTTGACAAACAGATGTTAGCACTAGAGGTGGATGAGAAGGGGGCATACTGGTGTTCCAGCTCCCTGGTTGGAGCATTACAACCATGCCTCAAAGGCCCTCTCTCCAGCCAGGGGGCAAGAAGGTTGTTTCTTGGGTTTCCACATCCCCAGAGAAGTCCCATCATTGACCCCTGCCCTCTCCCCTGCTAGGTAAAGCAGCAACTGCCAAAGACAGTCCCTTGCCTTGCAGGGGTAGCAAGAGTGAGGAGGACTGCTTTCTTCTCTCCTCTGCCCCTCTCTTGCCAGGTGTGTAAGAAGGTGTGTAAGGAGATGGGGTGGGGCTTACATGCTGGGGTTCTCCTGACTTGAATGGCAGCTGCTGCTATTTCTTTTGCTCGCTCCTATGAACGTGACTTTGGGCTGCCGTCCTTGAGGTGCAGGCAGCAGTTCGAGCTTCTGGAAGCTGCTTCTGGTGCTCCCCTTTGCCCCCCACCCCCAGAAGCATGACTGTACCTCCCACAGCAAAGCCTTTGCATCCTTCCACCCTCCTTTCCCTCCAAATGCACCACTAGGCACAGCACTTCCCCTGCTCAGTTGCACCAACTTGGTTCCGTGCCTGTCAGGAGAAAAACTCCTGGGGGAAGGGGACCAAACTGGTGCCCCCTCCAAGTCAGTGCCTGAGGCTAGTGCTCTGTTTGCCCCAGCCGAGTTATGCTACTGCCACCCATGGGCATTTCTGATGCCTGAACAGTCCCAGAATTCCCTAGAACTGTTAAAGGGGCAATGAAAATGGGCTCCACCACTTGAGCAGTCTCAGATTGTAACAGGCTGCTAAAGTGGTATAAGGAAGCCAGCCCCAAAGATTATTAAATACATCTGCATTAGATAATAAACCCATGTGTAAGGAAATAGGTCTTGAGCATAGTAAAACAATGGTATAATATTAGAAAGTATGAATCAACCAATTCATTCATTATCAGGGGGAAATGATCCCCAAAAAATCATATGCAAAACATTTAAGTTATTTTTAAAATGTTATAAAATAATTAAAATACTTACAGCTAAAGTGATTTTGCCTAAGATTTCTTCTGGAATAACGTCATCTAATACACTATATACATATTTGTAAAATTTATCAAACGAGGTAGACATGAGCTCCATACAGATCCAACAGTCACCCTAAAAAAAATGAATATCTGTTACTGTCCAGCTGAAGTACTGCACAAGAAAATGTGCTAAATGCAGAAAGGACTTTCATATTTGATCAAGCCTATGAGCCATCAGCATGCATTATCCTCCAAAGACACTCAGTTTGGCAGGGTTCAAGCCATATGGAAGAGTGGGCCCTTGGATGCACATACTAGCACATCCAAAGAAATTAAAGGATTTTTTTCTCAAGTCATGACAATCTGTTTCTCCTAGAAAAGAGGGAGAATTATCAGCATGGGAGACATCTCATCCCTTTCTGTGACAGTGGATCCCAAGTAAAAAAAGAAAGAAAGATAATAGTTGCTAAAATCCAAATCAGAGCTACTGTTCATAATTTACATCCTTTTATTGAAAAGCTATAAAAGGAAAAAAAAACAACAAATTACACTGACCAATATCCAGATAAAACTAAACTCTGAGTTAAAGTAAACTTTACTGAGAGACTACCATCCCTTTTTTTCAAATTGTGCCTCCCCCTTAACACTTTGGCATGTACACAGACCTGTGGGAGCCAAATGCTGAGCCTCTTGAAATGTTATCTACAAATAATTTCATTTTTTCATATATATCCATCATATCCAATATAGCAGGAACTGCACAATGTAATCATAACTGTATAACAGGAGAGTGTCTAATAAAATGAAGCATTTTATGAAGTCATAATTAAACATTTAAGTAAACTTAAAATTTACATGTATTTATGTAAAACTGATGGCAACTTGACTATAGTGATTAAATTAGCTTTTTACTTATATTAAAACCAAAATCAACTATAACTCAGGCCAAACTAAGGGCTACTGTATCTTAGTTCATGATTAAGATTTGAGCTGCTCATGGTAGACTGGGATACCCTAAAAGGGCATACTTTCATTATCAGAAATACAATCATAATTTAGTGTCAGTTTTTTTCTCAAGAGACACACTGCACACTTGATCCTAAACACGTTGCAGCATAATTATTCCTTTAAGCATCTATACCCAAAATGTCAAATGTAGGGGTTGTGAGCTGAGATGACTAGCTTGACATTCGCAGTCTGACTGACTACCACCTACAAGACATATGGTAAAGGTTAGTACAAGAAAAGTGCAAATTTATGTCTGTTTCTAGGAAGAACGGCTGATAATATAGGTTGCATGCAGCTCAGAATTAGAAGGTGTGTAGAGAAGACTTCATAATATAAGATTTTGTTCATTGGTAAGTGTTGTGTATTAATGTTTCAAATAAGTGTTGTGATGTGAGAAGGCTATGACCCTTTTTTCTGTTTCAGATCCAGCAACCATTGTCAACGTGCTTGTAAACTTAAGGCTAGATGACTGCAATGTGCTCCATGTTGGGTTACCCTTGAGGACTATCTGTTGCAGATGGCACAGAATGTGGCAGCCCACTTTCTGCCTGGGGTTGGTGGCTGGGAACATATTACTTCAGTGCTTCAGAATCTACACTGGCTCCTAATAATCTAGTCACAATTCAAGGTCTTGATCCATAAAACCCTAATGTTGTTGGTTTATATAAATCAGGTGAAATTTGAATCACAGGTGATTATAAGCAGAGAGCTTTGTTTTCCATTCGCTAAGGAAAAACATGGATTTTCTCTTTTAAAGGAGAAAAACGCGGGAAATTATGGGTTCCCCCTTGCAGGCTGGCAGGGAGCTGCAGGGAGCAGGACTCAGGGGGTACCATGTGCATGTGTGTACACGCACATGCATGTGACAGCTAGGCAGCAATTGAGAGCAGCTCCTGCAGCTCCCTCCAGGTAAGTCTATGGGGGCAGAGGGGAGAGGGCACAGGTGCTGCGTTGGGGAGGGAGGCGGCACAAGCCCCAGGGCACTGGGGTGGGGAGCACAGGAGACGTGACAGTGCAGCACAGGTGATGCAGTGTGGGGGGTGGGGATGGGACAGGGTGACAATGAGATGTGGCAGGGAGGCACAAGACTTCTGTGCCCACAGCAGGGCATGGGGCTGCAACCAGGCCAGACTACATCTGGACGAGCTGCCTCTGCGACCCAGCAGGCAGGACTTGGCACAGGAGGGAGAGTTGCACTGCCATGGCCACCGAGGTCAGGGTCAGCAGTGGTGGCGCAGAATTATGTCCTCCATGGCTGCTGGGTGGACAGGGGGCACCTCACCTTGGTGACCATGTCAGCGTAGTGCTCCCTCCTTGTGCTGCAACCTGCCCATTGGGCTGCAGAGGTGGCTCCTCTGGAACTGGTCCGCCCTGTGTCCTGCCAGATTGCCTGTGCCCTCCCCATCCCCCACATGTGGCCCCCAGCACATTGCCTGTACCCCCACGTCACCGTAAAATTCAAAACTGCCACTATTAGGACCTGGAGAATGGCTGTTAGGAAAATGTAATGCTACAGTATCAGTTGACATTGCATCTTTGAGTTCCATTATTTGTGGGAGATCTATTTTTTCTAAACGATTATGAATTTAGATAAAACATGGGTTTCCTGAGGAAAATTAGCCTTTTTTAAAAATTGAGAAAATAATATTATTATATCCATCCTAGATGCCAACAAGCTCATATTAAAAAAGCAGAAATTGAACTGGGAGACTGGAAATGTTAGAGTTGTAGTCACAGAGAAGTAGGGCTAGAAGGGACTCCAGTGCTCATCCAGTCCAACTCCCTGCCTAAGGCAGGATCATCCCTATCTAAACCATCCCATACAACCATAATCAACTCTACATTAGACTACCCTCAGCCCTGATGCAACACAGACCCAACACCCTAACCTGCCACATGTAAAACAGAGGAACCACAGCAGCCAATGTTCTGCTTCTATAAAATGCTGACAATATATGCTCAAGGGTAGAGGGTCCTGCCTCTTGCAACAGAGGAAGGCAACACCCCCTACAGTCCATACCAATCTGACAATGGGGTTAAATTTCTTACTGACTCCAAATATGACATAAACTGAAATCTTTATCTCTTGGGCCCATCTAATAATAAGTGTGAAACAACTGTGGCTATGTAACACTTTGTAATATTCCACAAACAGATCTATGTGAATTTGGGCAAGACTTTTCTACATGTTCTGCATGTCTGACAAATATGAACAATTCAGTAATCTAAACTGTTGTGAATTCCTTCATCCTTACAGCTTTGAGGTGGCCTTTTAACTGATCAAAGTCTGAGGCTAAGATTTTCAAATCTCCCTATAAAAACTCAAAAACCCAGAAGCAGAAACTGTTGGGAATATCTGCAGAATAGAGTTCAGTGTGGGCAAACTTAAGCAGTTTCTCTGTCTATAACTTCTGATGAGCTCAACACTGTGTTGGCTATACTACCACTTAGTTCTTAGGCTCTAGTTTAAAACATTGTGTAAGTGTTTCTACAGACTATAGACATATCTAAAAAAATAAAGTTACTCATCAGTAACTGGAGTTCCTCACAGTGTATTATCCTTATACACAATCATCTCTGGGTGTCTTGCACCCCTAAATTTCAGAGTTCTTGCTTTAGCAGTCCCTATAGTGTGTACTCTAGCCCCAATCCCCCCATGATGGCTGGGAAGAATGGGGGAATGAATGGAATGGGAAGAATGGAAGCAGGGTAGAATCAGAATGTGTATATGGTCAATACATCTCAAAGAACTCCTGCTACTGCTAAGTACCTTCATTTACTTCTCCAAACAATGATTACAAATTATTTCCTATAAACATATACACAACCTAGTGGGTGATTCCAAAGTAGTGCCCAAATACTGGAGGTGGGTCTCAGAGTCCCCTAAGGTAGCATTTCCCAAACTGTGGGGCATGCCTCCCTGGGAAAGTGAGAAAGGTTCCTAGGGAAGGTGCGTGTGAATCACAATGACAATCAGTAGCCACTACTTTAGCCGCTCTCACAACCCCTTACCTTAGTAGTTACTATTTCTTCCTCTCACCACCACTTCCCATCAACAACAGGAATCAACAGCAATCGGCAGTAGGGGCTGTGGCAGAACGCCACTTGCTTATCCCCGAAAACTCTGCTCTGTGACAATTTGGTTAGGATGGGCCCAGCAGAGGATACACACCTTACCCTATCTCTTTAGGTAACCTGAGCTGGATACATTCCTGAGGGAGGGGGGAAACCTGCTCCCTCTGCCTACGTGATTAGCATCACATACCTAGGTGAGGGGCTTGGGCACCCTGATGGGCTAGAGACTGCCAATCTGCCTAGCAACCAGTGATGCATTTCAAATTGGTTGGCTGACAGCCAACAGGTGCTGGCCTCCATTGGACCAGGGAAATGAGGTCATAAGGGCTATATAAGTTAAGGACTGCCCAGGCAGCGGGTGTGCTCTAGGAAAGGGGTCAGCCAGACGTAAGGCACCCCCAGGGAGGCACTCAGAGCCTAGAAGGTGGTCGGGCACAGTGAGGAAGGTGGCTAAACGCAGGAGCACCCTCTACTGGCCCACTACAGGGGCAATCAAAGGCAGCAGCTGAAGTAGGGAGGTGCAAGACTGCTTGACTTTACTACAGAGAGATGTAAACTCCCAAGATTTGGGGAACACTTCTCTAGGGGAATAACTAGTTAGGACTACTCTACAAAGTGCAGAATACTGGAGGTATGAATGGAACTCTGGGTGGCAGCTCTGGAGGCCTGTCTCTGCTTCAAGTAGGTTTTTGCATGAGGGAGACAATGCTTCTAGTGAGTATAATGTGGCTCTGGAATTGTTCAAGGTGAATGACATCTCATTTGTTTTAGAGCAGACAAGCTCCATGTCCTCAGAAGAATGCTCCTCAGTTGCTGATCAGAGTCCTTTAGGGAGACCTGAGCATCAAACCACCGACAACGGTACACTGCCATTGCCAACATCACAGGGATAATTAAAAGAGCAAAAGTGTCCTCAGCCACATAAATCAAAGCAGGACAAGGAGGGAAAAAGCAGGACACTATACAATGAAGATAGTGGTGAAGACCAAAGATAACCTTACAACCCAGGTACGGAATACAGGCAGTCCTTGGACTTACAACACAAATGGT